TGTGCGGCTCTGGCTCGCCAGAGCAGCGATGTCACGCTGGCCACATGACCCGGAAGTGTCTCCGGACAGCGCTGGCCCCCGGCCTCTTAAGTGAGATGGGCGCACAACCCTAGAGTCTGTCAAGACTGGCCCGTACGGGCAGGGGTACCTTTACCTTTTAGTTATTACCATAAAGAAGGCTGATCACTGAAGAGTTGATACTTTTGAATTATGGTGCTGGAGAAGACTCTTGAGAGTCCCATGGACTGCAAGAAGATCAAACCTCTCCATTCTTAAGGAAATCAGCCCTGAGTGCTCACTGGAAGGACAGATCCTGAAGCTGAGGCTCCAATACTTTGGCCACCTCATGAGAAGACTCCCTGGAAAAGACCCTGATGTTGGGAAAGATGGAGGGCACAAGGAGAAGGGGATGACAGAGGACGAGATGGTTGGACAATGTTCTCAAAGCTACCAGCATGAGTTTGACCAAGCTGCGGGAGGCAGTGGAAGACAGGAGTGCCTGGCGTGCTCTGGTCCATGGGGTCACGAAGAGTCGGACACGACTAAATGACTAAACAACAAGAAGTTATTACAGCTACATACTACACCTCCTAGGTAAGAAGTAGCATACCACTGAATCTGGATTTAGACACATCAAATATGTTCAGGCATAAAAGCTGAAGCATTCATAAATAGAAGGAACTGCTACTGTGGTTCAATCCCACCCACCCCCATGCACTTCTACTCTACTGGGTCACATGAGCAAATGAACTAATTAATGGAATCAGGTTGGTTTTCTAAAGGGAGAAGCATTATAGTAGGATAGTTTTGGTTACAGTAGCTGCAGAACTACAATGATCATTAAAAGTGATTTCTTTCTTTATTAATGAATTAGTAAATCTGCATGGCCACCCAGTCACCTGTTTTCTGGGCAACTCACAAAAACTGTAAGAATAAAATACAGTATTAAAAACACAATGCTAAACAATACAAGCAGCACTGAAACGTTTTTCTTCTGTCAGATATGCAAAAAGAAAAAGTTGTTCAAAACATTTGGTCTTCACCTTGTGCCAAAAATAAATAAATATAGGGATGGTGTTACAGTATGTGAGCATCTCTAGCCTGTTTCATAATGGAAGCACAACCGCTGGGCAAGAGCTCTCTCCTTTGTTCAGAGGTGGGGAACCTTTTTCAGTCCCTCATGGGGTACCTTCCAAGGGCGGCATGCCATGGTACACAGGGCCAAAGATTACGGCAAGTAGTGTGACACAAAAGTCAAAGGTATCTACATATGTATGGACACACACGCATCTCCCCATCAAGGCAAGCTGGAGGCATTGCTCTAGGTACTGAGAGCACTCACCACAGCATGACATCTGGACTGAGTTTATTCACCCTCATGTAGCCTGTTTCTGCACCTCACTGATTTAGAACATTGCAGCCCTACCTGCATCTGCTTGGCATCATTTGCGTAGTGGGAAACCTCAGACCAGCTCTCCATCCAGATGACCTCTTCCCATGGTTTCAGATTGAAGTGCATTGCTACTAACTTTTACCGGAGGCTCATTTTGCCACCTTTTGTGGATGGCTAGGTAATTGGGGGAAAGAAATACCATATTACAGGGTAGCAACATCTGTTTTCTTGTATTGTTTGGACTTTGCTTGCAGAATGTCTGCCATGCATGGAGTTGCTCTACTAGGAAACAAAAAAGATGGAAATGCCTAAGCAGTAGTAATGTTTTCTAGACCAAAACATTCATATTATCCTATATACTATATACTGTGTAGGCTTGATGGTCTGGGGAATGTGTCTCCTTTTTGAGTAACTGGTTTTGTGTATCTGTGTGAATATGGAAAGCAGTACAGTGGTACCTCGGGTTACATACGCTTCAGGTTACAGACTCCACTAACCCAGAAATAATACCTCGGGTTAAGAACTTTGCTTTAGGATGAGAACAGAAATTGTGCTCCAGCGGCGCGGCAGCAGCTAGAGGCCCCATTAGCTATAGTGGTGCTTCAGGTGAAGAACAGTTTCAGGTTAAGATCGGACCTCCGGAACAAATTAAGTACTTAACCCGAGGTACCACTGTATAGCATAAAGATCCACAAAATATTTTTTATTACAATTCTATCCTGCCTTGCCTTCCAAGGAGCTCAAGGTGGTGATGGGCTTTTTTTGCCATACATTTTATCCTTGCAGCAACCCTGTTAGGTAGGTTCCTAACAAATACTCATGGAATTATTATTATTATTATTATTATTATTATTATTATTAATTTATTACGGTCAAAGACCAGTTCAAGAAAACTCTTTCTAGATGTGTAACATTACTTAGGCAGACCTTGCTTGTGCTGGGCAGGTTGCCATAAACGGGGAAATTCTAAAACAATCTTCCTCCTGAATATTGACTTTCTTCAAGCTTATTAGCTCTAGTGAAGCTGAACCTTGCTTCACACTGGATAAGAGTATAGTCTGTAATAAACAATAAGTTGTGTTATTCAATCTTAAAATGTAAAAGAAAAAGTTATAGACTTGATAAATAATGAAACTAGCTGCAAGACTCTAGAGTAAAAAAAAACTAACCATGGAAGGGAAAGAAGATGACCTGTAGATTTGCTGGAACTCAGGATTGAGAGGAAATGCTCTGCTGCTTCTAAATAAGTTTTTCAAAAATATATCAAATCCCTAGTCAAGTCGGATGCTTTGAAAATGCTCCACTGATTTTAAATGAGCTTTCCCAACAAATCTTGATACAGATGTAATACTAATTCTCAGCTGAGACTAATGGAAGATGACTATCACCTTCGACTTAATTTAGGATTTGGTGGAAATGTTCCAGTAAAACTAATGAAGGATTTGATTCACAACACATTTTAGCTTTACATAAGTTATTTCCCATCCCTGATCCTCCTAAACTTCCTAAAGAGGGGAAAAATATACGTGCATATGCTTACTAGTGGGCTGAGCAACACTATCATGGCAGGGGTGAGAATAGCTCAGTTTCTATCCTGGGGCAAGAGGCTGAACAAGAGTACTGTATCTACAGTATATTGCATCTCACAACTGACTATATATTGCATATGGTATTTTGTATATTGCATTTTATTTATATATTGTAGTTTATTTTAGTATACCTTGTATTTTACTGTGTATATATTGTATTGTATTTGCATACATATTTATTACTATTTTAATTGAAATATAAAAATACAGTATTAGAAATGAAGCAATAAAAATAAAAATCAATGCGAGTATTTAATGTTGGAGGAACCATTTCCCATCTTCAGCAAACCCACAGGCCACCTGGATGAAACTTGCAGACCACTGGTGATCCATGCACCAGTTTGGCAACCCTGGGCTGCTAGAATGGACTTATAGCAATTGCTTTGGTTAAATTGCATTCATTTTGTGTTATACTAGTAGGCATATTAATGGTGCAATGTGAAAAACTGACAGATCTATGAATTGGCAAGCACAAGGTGCATGCATGGGCATAGCCAGGATTTATGTTGGTGGGAGAGGGCAGAACCTCAGCTAGTTAAGTATTTTATTGATTTACTTGATTTGGCTACGCCCTTGGGTTCATGTAATTAATATATAGGTGGGATGAATTATTAAAAATCTTATAAATGTATTACCTATTCATTGCATTGACATCCAAGGCTTGGGAGTAACCCTATTTAAAAATGCAAAGGATCCCTGGAGATGTGTTCCTTGGAGCCTGTCGCTGCACCTTAGAAAGTGATGTTTGTAGTGCAAACTGTGCAGAGAGGTCGTGCAACATGGATTCTGCGGATCCATGTAAAAATTCAAAGGATCAGTTTCCCCCCAACCATGTATTTTATACGGATGAGGCTGTCTGTGTAGATGCATTCAAGCTGTGGATTGCTCGGTTTTGAGGGAACATGGGTGACCCCAACTGAGTAAAGAAATAAAATAGTTTTTATAGTTCAAACCATGAACATGATGTGCCACTGGGTTCTATCAAAAAAGCCAGAGGTATGTTTTTGCTCTATAGGCACGAAGCGCTGGGTTTGTGATTATTCTGATGCAGACTTGCAGGCACTGAGGCGATTTGGTGGTGGTTTTGGTGCGCCATGCGGTGTCAAGATCCGCAAGATCCATTTTCTGTGAGCCATGACAGCAGAAACGTTAAGTACCAGAGGCGTGAATTATTCTTATTTTTAAACTGTGCAGCCTATGGGCACACGAGACCAGGGCCGGATTTAGGTTTGATGAGGCCCCTGAGTCTACTGAAGGTAATGAGGCCCTTTATATGTCCAGCTGTCCTTTGTCAACAACAAATTGTCACTGTTTTTTTGTGTTGAATATATGCTATACGGTAATTTATGGACCTAATAGGTATCTAAAGCCATTTGCCACTGTTGCTATATGTAGGTTTTATTTTATTTGCTTTTTATCTTATATTTTGGAAATGTACATCCTGGTTTTTTCCTCCTTTAACATTTTCTGGGGGCCTCAAGAAAGTGGGACCCTAAGATGTAGCTTGTTTAGACTCGGACACGACTAAACAACAACAAATCCGGCAATGCGTGAGACTGATTCTCTGCAAAACAGCAACATGCAGATTCACAACGATCCGTTTTCGAGTGTTTCTCCTCACAGAAACGAGGAGGATGCCGGGTTCCGTCTACCTAGGGCGGCAAGAAGAGGCCGCTCCCTCAGCTTCGGGAACCAGCCCTGACCGAACCCAGCAGTTCGGCGGGACCCGCTTCCAAACAAAAACACGGACGCGGCTGCCGTTTCCCCCTCCCAAATCCGAAAAAAAGACGGCAAAAGGAGGAAAATCTCGAGCGCCACTTGCGAAGGCGACCCCAACCGTCGCGCCCCTCAGCGCCCTGAGGTGAAGGCGAAAAGGGGGCGTGGCCTCGCCTCGCGAGCCCTCGGAGTGGCGCGAACACGGACGGAGCCCGTCTCAAGCCCCGCCTCTCCGCTGCTGCTGCCGTTGTTGTCTCTTTAAGGCCGGGAGGAGGAGGGGGGGTTGTTTTGTGTGTGTATGTGTGTGTATGAGGGCGGGCGGTTGGAAAGCGGCGGTTGCTGGTGGTCCGCGCGCGCTCGTCTCGCGAGATCCGCGTTGGCGCGCCGTGACCTCCATGTGAGAGCAGCGGCGCCTGGTAAACAGTCCTCGGGGTTAGGACATGGCTCCCGCCGCCGGCGCCCGTTAGTTCCACACGGTGGGGGAAGCCTTCCTTTGCTGGTCCCTCAGGGCAGCTCCTGACAGGGGCTTTGCCGCCATTCCGAGTGCGGCTGCGGAAAGGGAGAAAGGAAGGGGCCGCGAGGGCGGCTGGCGGGGCGAGGAAAGAGGCAGCGAGGAAGGCCGGCAGCTGAGGAGGCTGGCGGTGGTCCTCGGGGTCTGAGGGAAGGAGCTTCCTACCCCCGCTGCCGCCCCCCGCTTCTCTCTCCGGTGCTCCGAGCCGGCGGGAAAACCGCCCCCCGCCCCTCTTTCGTCCTCCTCTGGGTGCGCGCCATGTGGATCCAGGTGCGCACCATCGACGGCGCGCAGACCCATACCATCGACGACCTCAGCCGCCTCACCAAGATCGAGAGCCTGCGCGAGAAGATCGAGGAGAGCTTCCGCGTCAGCCCGGACAGGCAGCGCCTCTTCTACCGGGGCAAGCAGGTGAGGCGCCCGGGCGGGACACTCCCCCCTACCCTGGGTTCTCGGAGGCGCGATGGGTGGTGCTTCGCATTATTATTGTTTTGAATCCCAGCAGCTGTTGCATCCTCTCCTCTGGGCTTATTGTTTACCATCTTCCTCACACCTGAGGGGGTAAATGCAGGAAGCAGCCCGAGGATGCCTTTGTGCGAAGGGCGGCGGCGGAGGCAATTTCATCCACCATCCCCTCCTCCTCCTCCTCCTCGCTCTCGGTTTCCAACGGCGCTGCTCGCCAGACTCCGCCTCTCTCTCTCTGCTTCGCTAGCGGAGTCTCTGCTCTCAAGGGGTGCGCGCAGGGGGCCGGGATGCCACGGGGGAAGGGGAAGGATGAGGCCGGTTGCCTCTGCTGCACGACTTCCGGCGCTTCAACAGCCTCCAGAAACGCTCGTTGGCTCCCGCTCCGCCCCGCCAGTATGCCCAGGGAAGTGGCACCTGGTCGAGGAAAGTTATTCTCGGTGCCATCCCTTCTCCCTCTCCCCCCCTTTCCACTTCCTCTTCTCCCCACACCCTCCTTCCCATCCTTTTTTGTATAGGGGCACTAGCTACACCCCCCTTTAGTCGAAAGCCACGAGTATGGAACCGATGTGCCAACTGTTAACGAGGTTCAGTTCCATAGGCATCATCTAAACGGAAGGAAGCCCCATCGAGTTCAGTGGGACTTGTTTCGGTTAAGTAGGCACAGCCTGCATCCTTAGAGAGATACATTTCCTTTGTTTTGGGAGTTTGTTTTTGTCAGTGTAGGGACAGAGAGTTCTGAGGAAGTGCTTGAGTTCCTTGTACTCTCTAGGCACTTAAGGCTTTCATTGGAAGCTGGCTCTCTTTAAATATACAGCAAATTAACAAAGGTAGACAAGCCTGGGCTACCATGATGGGAAATGCAAAAGTGGTTGAAACACATTCTGGAATACTGTATACATTGTTTTACCTCGTTGGATCCAGTGTGGATAAATGCTGTGAAGCATAGCTTATCTGCATAACAGAGATTGAGTATGCAATCAGGTCATACAACTTCACTCCCTCTTCTAGAGAAGTTGTTACGTTAGTCTTTTGGCACCTTTTTGTTATGGCATAAACTTTCATGGCCAGTGATCCAGAAAAGCTTTTGCTGTGATAAACGGGTTAGTGTTTACGGTGCCATTTATTGTTGTAATTCATTCTTATAACTGCATGTTTTTCTTTTCCCATAGCCCTTTCAGACTACAGTTACTGTGCTTTCTAGCCATTGTACCTTTAATGTTTTCTGGTTATGGCTAGGTAGCTCTGTGTTTCTGTGAATATATTGTGCTGGGATTTGGTTTGTCATAAATTCTGTAAAGCAAGAGTGTAATTGCCTCTCTGTTTTAGAACATGTTATGGCTGATCTAACGGACCTCAAAGGACCAATGAGATCAGAGATTCAAAGAGTGTTGTGCAAGATGCAGCAGAGGATTCAAAACAAACAGATAACAATGAATAAGAAATGTAGGAGCACGTTGGATGCCTCATAACAAAACTAATGCAGGATACTATAGAATGCTGCTGATACTGGTCTGGAAATAACTTAGGTGCATATAGCATGTAGTGATATAGCACTGCTGAAGTAAAAACAAGTAAATTGTCTTTCAAGTGGCATTGAAGAGCCTTAAAATTGGTATTTGCAGGTTTGCCATAACATGATTTTTGAGAAATGTGTGAAAGATCACATTTGAAACTTGGAGCTTTTTAGCATGCTTGCTCAGTCAATATGCCAAATGACTGTGCTACTGATCCTAAAGCTTAAAATCATGTAGGGAAGGAGGAATTTCTAGGTGACGGAAAGTGTTTTTCTTTCTTAGTTCAATATATTTTCATAAGACATGGGCAAACTCTTAACCTGAGAGCTACATTCTTATTGGTACATCTTTTGGAGTTGCATGCTGGTGGTGGGTCAAACACATGTTAATAACAACAACAGATTTATAAACCACTTCGTAGCTAAAGCTTGCAGTGTGCACAAGGATAAGACACACTGACTTAAGTCACTTGCATCTGGGAGCATGCTACTGTAAAAAATTAGGATTCCCCCCACTCACCATGCTCGCTGTCTCTCTAGACCAGGGGTCAGCAACTTTTTTCAGCCATGAGCCGGTCCACCATCCCTCAGACCATGTGGTGGGCCGGACTATATTTTGAAAACAAATATGAATGAATTCCTATGCCCCACAAATAACCCAGAGATGCATTGTAAATAAAAGGACACACCCTACTCATTTAAAAACATGCTGATTCCCAGACGGTCTGCGGGCTGGATTGAGAAGGTGATTGGGCCGCATCCAGCCCCCGGGCCTTAGGTTGCCTACCCCTGCTCTAGGCCACCCCTTACTGCAAGCATTTTGACTCTGTAGCACCTGCAACCTCCCTGTTCACATAGTTCATCTTATTATCCCTCTGCTTCTCACTGGAATTTGAGCGCTGCAGTACACCCCCAGTGCTTCCAGACTCCACAGATGACTGAAGAGGAACATGAGTTCTCTCTGGAATGCACAAAGGTGGTCATATGTTGTGTTGAGCGCTGGCAAACAAGCAGTGGCAGGCAATAGTAGGAGGGGGTGAGACTGCATCATTGAGCAGGTAGGCATTATTGAGGTTGGAAGGCCAAATGTGGTTTTCGTGCTGCTGGCTTCCCATCCCTGCTCTAGGAGATCACTTGAGTAGTGAAAAAACTGCACTTTACTAGTTTGCATAGGGTTCCACATATGTGTGATGAATCCATTGCTGGTTAATTGAAATGCAAGCCTTTCTTAAATAAACAAGGTACTGTTGGGAGATTTTTCTTCCCACCCTTGTCTAAGGATCAACTGATGGAAAGTGAATGGATTTCTATCCTCTCAGGAATGTTGAGGAAAGGAAGCATGCTTCCCCAATTTTTTGCTACAAAAATTTCTACAAAGTACGTCGGGCCCAGTGAATATCTGCTGTATTCTCCATAATAATAGGTCCATCTTATTTGTAAGCTGCCCCTGATCTGTAGTGATCAGGAAATATTTGTGCTCCCATAGCTGTGCAGCTGCACATTTCTCTCTTGTTTAATATACTTGTTTCTTTTCTGCACTATTCAGAAATATTAGATTTGTCAATGAAGGGGAGGCATGCTGCTGTTTGTTATGAATTATCTTCCTTTCTGTTCTCTCGCTCTTCTAATTGAACTGGAAGTGCCCTTCACTCTCACGGTTCCTGGTAATCTTGAACGTATACTATTTCAGACTTACTTAGTCTTTCCTCTGCACACACATTGGGTGAGAGATCATTTGCTTCTTCCAGACTGAATCTGCAGGGGTATCTTTCTACATTTAGCATGCTGAGAGGTGTTGAGAGGGTTCTCTTTAAAGGGCCAACATGTTATTTAGGGGATGAAAAGATGGTTTCCTGAAATTTTCATATGAAGCCATGATTGAGCTTCAGGTATTTTTTTGTAGCACAGTGCTTCATACAAAACCATAACAAATTCCAGCACTGCACTAAAAAAAAAGGAAGGGGTTGCATGGTGTTTTAGAGTATAAAATGCTGTGTGCCCCAAGGTAATTACAACTTAGACTTCTGGAACATGAACATACAAGGGCTGAATATGAGCATATGCTGTTTTGTGTACTTGGTTCCCACTGCAGTTAAAAATGAGGAGTAGTGCGGAAGAGAACCATTACTTTTTACATGGAATACCAGGATGTGACTCATGAGTTACTCAAGTGTTACTCAAATGGTGTGGTTGTTGTCAAAATTGAAACAATGTTTACACAATTTTTATACATATAAAAAATGTGAAGTATGAATGAAACAAGGATGTGAGTCATATAGGAACCTAGAACCAGGAATTGCCATTGAATATATATATATACTGCACGAGATATAAATTCTGGTGCATAATGTATAGAACCTGGTACATAATGTATTTGAACCTGCTGCATGTGGGTCAGGGTGCCATTAACTACACCAGTAGAACTGCTATCATCCTCCTTTACCAGAAAACATCGTGGTTTTTGGACGGGCTTTAAAGAGTCTGCAATTGGAGTTGGGTCAGAGAGATAGATTGGATATGCTGCTAGTCTGTTGACCACCCTGTGACCCATCAGCACCCCTGATCAAGCCGGCCAAGTTGGTCTGGGGTATTTTGGGAGGACCCCAGGACTTCAGCAGCCTCAAGGCTTTATTTATTTATTACATTTATATACTGCCCTTCTTCACTAAATCTCAGGGAGGTTCACAGAATAAAATTTTCTCTCATTGGATAATTCTCAGGTTCAGGTGCAGTCCACCTTAGAACATGTGGCATTCTAGAAGCACAAGCCCAGCAGATGGGAGGCAACATATGTCTCAGTTCACCAGACTCTTACCTCTTTTTTATTTGTCTCCCTGGTGGTAGTGAAGATATAGGTCAGACTTTGCTGGGGACAGGATGCCTCCCCCCATCCCTGCCTCCTCATCTGCCTATTTGGGCTTCTTTGATGCAGCATGGATCTTGACCTGTGGGTGTGCAGCCTTCCAGGCAAGAGGAGGGTGCATTTACAGAAATCTAGAGGAATCCCTTAACGCATCTTGGTCTTTTGCTGGCTTCCCACTAACTAGGATTTTTCCGACTGCTGACAATAACTTAATATTATGTTTGCGAAATCATTGGCAAGTAATTTCCCTAGGAACCTAATAATCATTGTACTATTTCCACTTCTCCTCCCCCCACTTCACATATGTTATGCCTCCTCACTCCTGAAACAAATGCCTATAATTAATACTGATCATAAGTTTTTATTTTGTTTCACCAATATTACTAGATATTGTAGTATACCAGATTGTATTATGTGTTCAAAAAACATAGTCCTCTGCACATGTGCCTGTGGGTTCTTAGTCTCTTGTACAGTGTCACCCATCATTGTGAATATGAAACTTTGGATAGTTTGTAGGCAATCCAAAGCTTCATATTCACAATGATGGGTGACACTGTACAAGAGACTAAGAACCCACAGGTACCTGGGTAGTCTTGGGCAAGCTAGTAATTTGTGCATTACATTCCTATGTCTACTTGGAAGTAAGTTCTAATGTATTCAGTGTTTCTTATCCCAGGATTCAGATTTCCATGCATAGTATTCAGAACATGCATAGGAGATAGATGCATGCGCGCGCGCGCACACACACACGGCAATATATCACAAATCACAATGTGTGCAAGGGCTAGGCAATATCTGCTTTTTAACATCATGATAATTCACCAGCTAAATGCTACAATGTTATCAGCAGCTAAACCTCACAATTAAAGGTAAAGGTACCCCTGCCCATACGGGCCAGTCTTGCCAGACTCTGGGGTTGTGCGCCCATCTCACTCAAGAGGCCGGGGGCCAGCGCTGTCCGGAGACACTTCCGGGTCACGTGGCCAGCGTGACATTGCTGCTCTGGCGAGCCAGAGCCGCACACGGAAACGCCGTTTACCTTCCCGCTAGTAAGCGGTCCCTATTTATCTACTTGCACCCGGGGGTGCTTTCGAACTGCTAGGTTGGCAGGCGCTGGGACCGAGCAACGGGAGCGCACCCCGCCGCGGGGATTCGAACTGCCGACCTTTCGATCGGCAAACCCTAGGCGCTGAGGCTTTTACCCACAGCGCCACCCACGTTCTAAACCTCACAATATCACCACCTAAACAATGTTATTACCAGCTAAACATTGCAATATACCACAATGTTGGAAATAAGGATGGAACTATACGGAGGCAAACAGGACAATGTTCTGGCAACTGCTACTACTTAGGGGTCTAAAATGGATAAATGACAATATTGCCAATCATCGCGCACTCAGTTTCATCAGCAGGCAAGCAGATACTGTGATATATTGAAATATTGTGATGTTTAGCTGGTGATATATCACAATATTGAAAACCACTTATTGCCTTCCCTCTCCCTCTCTCTCCTCCCCCCCTCACAATTGATCACCTGAAAGAGCTCATGGGCCTGAATTTTAGATCACGTAACTTTTATAGTCAGTTAGATTTATACTATTTTAGAATGTTTTGCAGTAACATTTCATCCTCTGATTGTCTCTTCATTTTTAAAGACACCCCCCCCCCCGGTTTTTCTAATTGAAAACATTCTTTTATTGCCCAGGAAACAAGTTGCTTCAACATTTTTTGAGAGATGCGAATTATTGTTCTTTCTTTCCTTCATGGTGCTCCATTGCAGTAAATAACTTTAAAAGAGAAACTAAAATAAAGTGATTCCTAATTGTAGTAGAGCCTCTATTCCTAGTGTCCTAATTTAGTAAATTTCTAGAAAAGCCAGATTAGCAGAAATTCCTAAACCTCAGAGATCTCTTAACCTGATTTGTTTTAATGTTAATTGATCCCTATGGAAAATATTTTTGCTTTGTTTAGTCACTTCTTTCCTCCAGTAAAATAAAAAACAAAACTTCTTGTTACATTTAAAAGAGTCTGGTCCAACTGGTATTTTGGTAGAGAAGAGGAAGTGCATATAATAGGCATCTCTTGAATACTTTTTTATGGCAACACGCCTATTTTATTGTTTACAATTTTCTTGAGTAACCCATTATTTTAATGATTGTTTTGGACTAGTTTTAATGTTTCTAATGCTTTTATATTGCTGTAAATCACCCTGTTATTTTTTGAGAAAGCAGTATATACGTACCTTTATAAATAAATGTGTTGGTGGTCCACAGACTCTGAGCTACAGTTGTAAAAGGAGTTGAAAGACTTGAGACTGAGTTTGGGTGAGCAAAAGAAGATGGGCAAAGGGAACTATCCTTGTACAGAAAGTGCTTTGAATCCTGGCCTATGTCTTTGTGTAGGGAAACCCTTCCAGTACATTGTCACACTTCTGGTTTTATTTTTCATATAAATTAGTTACATGTTCTCTAGGAATTATCTGTGTATTCCTCCAAACCAACAATTGTGATGGCCAGAATTAGTGGTATTTACACTATGAACAAGACTTAACTGCACTTTAATATATCTGTTTCTGCAGGATTGTACTCTAAAGCGTAGGGACTGTAGGAAGAAAATATAGAGTTGAATACAAACCATCAAGTTTAAATTTGAAAAACATTGCTTTTTTAGATTTAAAAACTACAATGACATTAGGAAATGTAAATGATAAAACTAAACAATGAAAGCACTTTTAATATATTCTTCTGGTCATAGATGTAGGGGTGTATAATGAGTTTCTGTTCTTAACGTATCCTTTTTATTACACAACATTGATTTGTCATGACACATATATTTAAACAGAAGGTAGCAGATTTTGACATATTTACATGTATAGCTTTTTGTTCAAAGTAGTTAAGCTTTTCATAAGTTAGTAATAATACTGCTCTAAAGACCAAATGAATAGTATGGCTTCAATCTGTAACTTCTCAGTATCAACTGGTCCTGATCCAATTATCAGTATAGTTTGATTTAGCTAGTGTGAAGTATTTATTTATTTACATTTATTTTATATCAATCTATATCTATCTCCAGGTTATATATTGATGCAATTCTTTATATTTTAAGATACAAACTTTTGAACTAACATCTGCTGATTGCTTTTCTCCCTGGGTTTTGTTTTGGATAGCTTGAAGATGGACACACCTTATTTGATTATAATGTTGGACTGAATGATATAGTTCAGCTTTTGATACGCTCAGAATCTGATGCTCCTGCTTCTCCATCAACAAATGAAGATGGAAAGCCCAGTTCCTGTGGAGTTGTGAACTGTAAGAACAAATCCAAGCAAGGAGCAAACAGTGGCTCATCTAATCAGCCATCTACATCAGCACGTTCGTTTCTTATTGATCCTGGCATTGGACGATACAAGGTATTTGTATTTTTGTAAATTTTGGACTGTATAATTGCACATATAAATTTTACTCTCATGACTGTTGTGAAGTAAAAAATGTTAAGTAAAGTTTGAGGTTTGTATATTGGATTTCTGTCTAAATTTAGTTGCCCCTCTTTCCAGGGGGATAAATTCCCACCCACCCCCAAGCCATTTGAAGGAATCATCCTCTACTCCAGTGATGGCCAAACTTGGCCCTCCAGCTGTTTGGGACTACAACTCCCATCGTCCCTAGCTAACAGGACCAGTGGTCAGGGATGATGGCAATTGTAGTCCCAAAACAGCTGGAGGGCCAAGTTTGTCCATCACTGCTCTACTCCATACAAGTTAATGGTGAGAGTGAAAAAGAGACTGTAGCCCTGAAAATAGCTGGCGGTGGGATAACACTGCCCCTGGGACTATAGGAGCAACAGCATCCTTGCTGGAGGAATAAGATTTCCTCCCCACTTTTGGAGTTGAACCCTTTATCTCCAATTCCCAGGGGCTGGTTTGACAGTTCAAATGGCTTCATGAGCCTGATGTGCACCATAGCTTTCCTGCCACTGGTCTACATGAAACTCCTCTGCTGTAGGCACAAATGCACTGTAATGGTTTTAGGAAATTTCAGATGTAATAAAGCCTAAAACTCAATGGATTCATTGAATCTAGAATGTATTTTCAAGTTACTTGATGGGATAAAACTTGGAAGAGCCCTCTTCCCTTAATGTCATGAAAAAGCTGGTATCTAGGAATTTTTGAAGCCATGGGAAATGTTCCTTTTTCTATGTTTTTTTTCAGGCAAAATGAATTTTTGGGAAAATGGAAAAACATGCAGTACCTTTTTTAGTCCTTTCATTTTTAGAAACATAAAATGTATTATGTATATCTTGGTTTGTCGTTCAATTATCATGTTTGATACCTTAAAATAGTGCTTATTCAGTCAATTCCATATTGAATATCTACTTTTTAAATGTTTTATTACAAATGAAGCTGTAAGCTACTGAACTGTAAGGAATTTAGCATCTCTTTCATTTTCCAGTTTATGAGTAGGCAGAAAACAATAAAAACAGGAGAAACCACCAACATTATAGTAAGAAAATTACTGTGTATTCTGAAAATTATCCTGAGTTGTGTTCAGCACTCAGGGCAGACTCATTGACATTAATGAATCTAAGTTATTCATATGTATTAATATCAGTGGGGCTACTCTGTGCAGGATGACTCTTGAATGGTACCCTATGTCTCCTTAAGTGCTCCCAAAGTGTCAAGTAGATATAAAGTACTTACTGTATTTTTCCATATATAAGACTAGGTTTCCCCCCCTAAAAAATAATGTCAAAAATTAGGGGGCGTCTTATACTCTGGGCCATCTTCCCTCATTTTCTTAAATCGGAGTCCCCCAAAATAGGGGGTGTCTTATACATGGGGGCATATTATAGACGAAAAAAATATGGTATTTTCATGAGCGAGCTGTGAAAAAGGGGTGAGTAAACCAAGACTCAATGAATACTGCATGAAATTTAATCAGTCTTATTTTCTGAGTTACCAATATCAGTTTCTGTTTCTTCATATATATCATGGACTTCTGTGTTATTCTGACAAGCTAATACCCCTCTTTAACATTTTGATTGATTTTTTCGTGATAATTTAGTGAACTTTACCGGCAGAATTATAGAGTCTTATTTTTGGGTGAAAAGCTTTGCCAGTCATTTGTGACTATATTCCTGGTCTGGGTTCAGATTCTGTCCATTTGAAAAAAAAATCTTTTTCTTTTTTAATACTGAACAGCATTAGTTCTATACATTACATGTTTTTAAGTGTCCAACAGACCTGGGATTAGCATATTTAGCATTTATTTCATTTTCTTGGTACCACACCCCTGGAAGCAATGTGGAACACAACAAAGGTGCTTTATAGTGTAACATTCTTTTTATATTATGACTGCACCTTATTTTTGATAATGTTATATCATTTCTCTTCTGTTTCAGAAGCATGCAAATTGAGTTTTCTTACACAATTTTACAGACTGTACTACAAGTCAGCCTATGTACTGGTTTGATTGGGCTGAAAATGTACAAGCCTTTTCACATGCCTCATTTAATATTCAGTTACCATAGAAATTTGCTGATACTGAACTACATACTGCTGCAGCTGGAATTCAGGCTTTGTTAATCGTTCAGTTCCTGGGCGCCTGTTACCAGGGCTCACACGTTGAACGTAATGGCTCACCTAAGGCCATAAATATACTGAAAGCTATGCCAAAATAGCCCTGTTTTCTCCTTTAATTTGAGGTTCCGTGATCTAGTTTCTGGCTTGTGGGCTAGAGCCACCCCTTAAGATCCCAACTCGCTCACTTACCTGTTTTTCTGTCCCTGCCACAGTGGGGTTAAGTAAACTGGACACTGGCACAGCTGTTACCATACTCAGAAGGAACATGGTACAGGAGCATGCAGACATGGAGATTCTGTTCTTGGTGGTAGTGTGGCTTTAACAGGAAGCCACAAGACTGCTAATGAAAACATAGTTTAGCTATATGTAGTTAAGTATTATTCTGCTGGGTTTGAGTCATTAAGACCTTACATGGTCTTGATGCCTTCTCTGTCCTCTTGGATCAATAGTTCAGTTATCCTGTCTCTCGGCTCCCTCCTTTCTAGCAGTACTGCCTCCCTCAAGTGTTCCTTCAATCCTCTCCTTTCATCAACTTTGTTCCTCACTGGTTTTTTCTGTAGGCCTTTTGTTGAAGTGAGACTAAGCTTAAATCATGGGTACTTTATGGGCCCATAGGCTCGTTTGGAAAAGTAATATAGCTTTGTGGGCACCAAAAGAACCCATTTCACAGAAGAAAAACTAGTGATGTGCAGACACCCAAAACAAATCAGACAAAAAAGCAATCAAGCAACCCTCTGCCCCGGAAAAGCAGGTATGCCCCAACCAAACAATAAAAAGTGTTGCTGTTGTCCCTTGCTTCCAAAAGAAGGGAGTCTTGCTGGGCACCAAGAGGGTTGTCTGAGGGTGCCATGGTACCTGTGAGCATCAAGATGGGGACTGAAGGTTTAGACTACTCAGTGTTCAAAATGACTTTCCTATTTTCCTCTTTAGAATAGTGAAGCAAAACTGTCATCAGCGTTGGTGGCTTTCAGTGTAGTGAAGGATCATATAAATAGATATGGATTGGCCGTTTAAACTGTAGTTATAGTCTGTTTGATGTGCACAGCTAAATGTAACCTTCCAGTTAATATGAAAAAAATAATGCTACTGTGTGCTACAAGGTGTATTATAATTGGCCAGTCTGTAGTTGCAGTAGATTTTATTTGCCAAAGCAGAGAGAAAACTAAATATACATTAGTCAAGGGGTAAGTGCTCCCATCATCCCTGACTATTGAGCATACTGGCTAGGTAGTTGTATTCCAAAACATCTGAAAGGATGCCATGTTGGCTATTCCTGATTTTGGCAGGTTCCCTTATGCAAGGCAGAGGCAAGCCGCCATCTGCACTTCTCCATGGTGTCCTCCTGAACCAATTGGGAATTGGGGCACTGTATTCCTGTGCTTACAGTTCTACAGCGGTTACAGCTCTACCTACGGGACAGTCCAGAGAGTAGCACTGGGAGAGTGCTTTTTGACTTCCTATTGGTTGCACGAAGGTGACACTGGGCACTATTCTATATTCAGTTCTGTTTGCTGAATTTTATATAAATATAATTGGATATAAATATGTAAATAAGCAGTTAGATATAAATACATGCAAATGTCCAGTAGGTTGTGAGCATTGACATCATTAGGAAAAGTTTAGGTGTTTTAGCAGATGAAATAAAATGTATCTTAAAGAATGTAGGTGATGTGTTCTTTTTCATTGGAGAGAGAAGTTCTTGGCCATCAAGGAAAGTATGTTGGGCTTTTGTTTTTAGTGAAAAAAGGAAGAGGTGAAAGTCCATAAAGTGCTGGGTTTTGTTGTTAAGGGCAGGAGGGATGGTGGTAGCTTTAAAAAGCATGCTAGTGGGAAACACAGCCCTAAAGAATTGTAGGTGCATTACATTAAGCATTTAAAAAACAAATCACAAAATAGCATAGGCATGGAGTTGTTTTATGCATCAGCAGTGACCACAGAGTTACTGGTTGATAATTTCTGTGGCATTTTTCTTGCAACCATTGCTAACCCAATGCCCAAAGTGTTATAGTAAAAGTGCTAGTTTGGAGGAAAAAACACATTTCCAAGAGCCAACACATTGAGTTCTGTGGTGTGATTTTCACTCCTCAGAAGTGCTTCCTAGGAACAATACATTTGAATTCTGCACAACAAATGAGTAACTGCATTTATTGTGTCATAAGAGATGATTTGGAAAGGTTAAGTTGTGTACTGTTAGAGAGAGTATATGCAAAAATAATAACCACAAAATCACCTTTTCATTGGCAAAGCTGAATTATTTCATTGGAAGATGGTTTGTAAATGGATGAGCAAAGAACAGTTTTCAGAGTTAAAGGATTTCATTATTATTGTGGAGAAGGAAATGTCTAGAGAAAATGAAGAAAGCAGTAAAATACAGGAAAATCAGGCAAAAAGCAGGAATAACCAAAGGTTAGAAAGCTTCTGTAACCTTAGTGAATAGTTATGTGAAGGAGAGAATAGTAATTTAAAACAAGAGCTGCTCTGTTTACATCTGTAGTTTATTTGTGTTGAAATGATTTTCTGACAAAATGTAGAATATTCTGTTTAGTTTTAAGAATGTAAAGGTAGAGTGAATTTAACTAATGCAGTTGCATTGTAGTTGGGGATCCACAGCATTATTAATTCTGTAGTTTATCGGCATAACATTCACTAAATGTCAAATTTATTTTTAGATAAATGAACTTGTGGATGCCCGAGATGATACTATTGGATCCTGGTTTGAAGCTCATATACAAAACGTAACTCAAGCAACAAAAGGACATAAAAATGGAAAAGCACAAGGAAAGAGTGGCAGTAATTACAAAAGGACTAATGGAAACTTAAACCAAGATCACTCTAGAGAAAATGCAAATAATTTGGACAATGCACCTTCTACATCTTACTCAGATTATATGGACACTGAAGAAGACACTGTTTATCATATCAAGTATGATGAGTAAGTGCTGCTGATATTATTATGAGGACACCATGTGCGTTTATATGGTTGGTATAAGCTAAGAATTTTCACAAGAAATTGAAATCCTTAAGAAAACAAGTTCACATTCCAAGTTCAAAAGAAACAGGATTTTACAAACCATAAAACATTTCTGTTTGATATAATGCATTTCCTGGGAGCAGCATGATTTATTTTGGGAGCTTGGCTGAAATACTAACTGTAGTTCCTTTGAGAAACCCAAACTTTCACAGGATGTGGATCCATAAATTAGCCTTGCAATAGTGTTTTATAGTACTTTGTATATACAATCAAAGCATAACTCTTAAAAAATTATCTGGAATTACTAAACACAACTGAATGGGTTTACTATTAATAAGTGAAGAAATATATAGGAATACAGTTTTGTCAGTACATTATTTACTTAAACCCTGTTAGCTTTTCCTGTAGGAAGTATTTTGGAGAGACAGATGAGCTCACTGTTAACTGCTTATTGATGTTAAGAGCATAGTAATGGGGTCTCAACCCATCTTCCAGAGTAGGACAAACACCAAATCCCTTAGCCACAACTGTCACTAAATATACACACAGAAACCTTTGGCCAACTGGAAGTATGTGTTTTAATTGGTACTCTGTGTGTGTATGTGTGAGAGAGAAAGTGACAGGGAGAGAGGGGTGGGGATATTTTGCTTCCACTCCTTGATCCCTGGTTATCCTGATTCAAAATGACTCAGTAACTGTGTGGCCTTGGTCATGTTTCTGTCAAAATCCAATGCACATCTTCAGCCTGAGCAGGATCTGACTCCTATAGATAAAAGGATATTGTTGTGAGATGATTAATTTATTTCTTTTACGTATTTTGCATGAAGGCATGTTTTCTGTTGTCAGGAGGGAGAAATAAATATTTAATATATTATTGTTGTTATTATTAAAGTTTGTATACTGCCCTTTATCCGTAGATCTCAGGGTGGTTCACAACATAAAATTACAATGTGTAACGGTTGCTAGTATTGTAAAAATACAAGCATATAATAATATGCTAGTATTAGCAGTAGGTAGGGGACCTCCTGCCTGTGCTGAGATCTCAGTTCTGTTGTTTTTAATCTTATATGACCAGTGTTATCTTTCTGCAGTTAACCTAATACAGATGTTATAGGGTACCTAACAATATCAGCTATTTGTACGTTCATAATTGAAAATGAAATACTGGTTCATTTGATAATGAACATTGGCTTTAGTACAGTACTTTTTGTTTTGTAAAGGAGTAGGCCAAGATGCATGTGTGTAACTTGAGTCTAATCATATTTCTTAATTGATTAAGGAAATAGCATCGGAATAAGCCCTTTGTGTGGATAAAAGGTCTATTCAGGTGCCATTTTCTTAAGCTGGTTAAGAAACTGTTTTTTCAGGTCTTGCCCGTGAAGTTCATCTTCAGATGGTACATTTTGCTTAGACTGAATGGGCTGCTTTTGCACATCATATCAAACCTTAGTTTAGTAAAATCTGCTCATACAGGAACAAGTTCCTGTCTCCCTGATGGCTTGTTTTAACCCATCATTGTTAAGATTAATCTTGGTTATGCATCTGGATGATGTAATAAGTTGTTCTTAATCAAAAGTGGAAGTGAAATCTTGACTGGGTGGAAGGAGGGAACCTAATCAAATTCAGACTGCAGCTCATTCCTGCTCATGCATAGTGCCGTAAACTGTGATTTGGCTTGATGTGTAGATGCAAGCATAGTGTAGGTGAGTATCTTATTTTTGTTGCTTGGGGCTCTTTTGCTTCAGTTTTCACTGAGCCTATAACCTAACATATGTCTTATTTAAAATGCCACACTTGTAGAGTGAAAGTCCTTGTACTGGTTTGGCATATTGCTTGATTTGCCTCTTTGAGGAGCACTGAGGGGATGCTTGTCTTGCTTGTACTTCATTAGGGCTTTGGGTATGGGGGGTATTGCTGGCACCTACTTTTGCTGATAACCCTATGGATCTGTGGACCAAGAGTGGTCCCTATTTCCATGCTAGGAACCACGGACACAGATCAGACTCCTCTATTGCACTGTGTTTTGCACTATTTTGAAGGGTTGAGTTTTGAAGTGTTCCTCATAAGTGGCTTCCAAGTTGTTCGGAAAAGGGAATTGAGAACACTATTAGGTTTTGCCAGCCTCTGATCCCCCGTGTCTCCAAGAAAAGGAGGTAGCACCATGCTGATTCATTGTCTTCACCTAATGATTAGGGATCAAGCCTTGGTTTTTAGCATTCCTGTGCTAAGTGCTTCTTAACTGGCTTCAGTGTTGGTTTAAGTTTTGTATGTGATTGCATGTGTGCTGTTACTAGCAGAATCTATTAGACAGGGTGGATTGGGTTGGACAATACGCACCTTTCCATTAGCAGTGTCAAAAGCCAGAATAAACACAGCTCAGCTGTAATTGCTTACCTACCGTCTTCTTGAACTTACCTAAAAAACAAGGAAAAACAAAAAGTGAGTCAAGAAGTTGTAAGAACTTAGTAAAATCTGACACTGCAAGTTCACTTTATTTTAGATAGCTTCTAAGTTTTCATGGCACTTTGTAAGTAGTTGTCTTATTCTCACAAATCTGATAAATGGTGAAAAATTGTTTTTGGACAAGAATATTAATTGTGTGAATAATTGTTGCCTATGTGTTGTACGGGTTGCACAATCATCATTAACGGCACAGGTTGTATTTCTTCAGCAGCGACTGTAATTGCTAAGCAGAGCCATATTTCTCATAAGAATGACAGAGAGACTGGACTAAGAAGCTGTTTTGGTTCCTGTGATGCAATGCTGATAGTTACAGCTATCCTTATCTCTGTTGAAGGATCCTTGACAATCTCTTTCTGGCCATATTTCCATGATCTTTCTGGGCACAGACATGCTCATTTTCATGAACCACAACTCTTGGTCATACTAGCATCTTGATAACTCATACTCAACATTGTCAGACTGAACCTTGGAGCCTTCAGTGGAGCATGTTGTAGGGATCCCAATCTTACCTCTTTGTATGAAGATCACTTTCATATGAAATAAGTGCAGAGAGTGGCCCAATATCTGGGATTGAAATATGCACTTCCTCAGGTGAATGTTACTAGCTATTCTTTTAATAGCTAAAAATTCCTGAAACAAGCTCTTGTTCATTTTATAGTACTTGGAAAGCAGTTTTAGTGAAGGGGCTGCTTCTTTCGTTTTAACCTATTGACTCACTTGCTGAGGCATACCAACATGGAGGGAAGCTAGGTTTTCTGGATAGAAAATTATAGTCTACAGTTTTCTTATCTTTGTGAAGGCTAGGTACCAATGCTTTCAATGGGACAAACCCATGCTTTATCTTGATCACACTCCAGATGACAAGAAAAATCTGGCTCATGTGTTTCAGGCTGATGCACTTCACTTTACTAAGGAACAAACACTACATGTTACAATGATGATTGGGATTCAAAGGATGTGGTGAGTACTATTGCTGTTTGCCAATAAGCCAAGTCTTACTCTACTTCACTGCTTCCATAGAGTATGGCCAGCGCAGAGCACCTGTCTCTTAGTGAAGTTTGTTTTAGTATCTAGAAGGATGGTAGCTTAGAAGGACTCAAGGGGGCCAAAATTACAGCTTGGTTTCTTGAAATCTCACCCCAGTCTACCTATTCATCTAATACCATTCACGCCATTGCTCTCTGGAAACTATCGTCTTCTATATCTTCGACTGGAGAATATGCATCCCGGAAATTCTGCACTGATGCACTGCATCGGAATTATTGGTGCTCTCAACCAGAGTTTTCAGCTAGTACAAGGACAATTGGATGACTATATAAACGAACCCTTTGGCTGCTGTTTCTCTTCACCTCACCATCTTGTTCAGCCTTCAGTAAACCCCCAATAGAGATTGTCTGTTCTCTCCCTGTATCCTCCCTCTTTAGGAAGAAGTTGATACAGAGGAAAGTGGAGCAATTAAGGTTCAAGTATCTCAGAGTCATCTAAGCTCTACTTTTCTATACTTTAACATGCCAGAGAAGAACAGAAGACTTTGACAGAACCTTGAATTTTGTGGTGTCAACTTTATAAGAAAGTCCCAAGAAATTCCAGATGATCCATCTTTGCATATATTCTTCCCTGCCTCACAGATAGTTTGGATTTCGTGTATAGATCTAAATTTCTGTATTTCCGTTGAACGGCAACACACCTCCAGTTTGCAAACAGACCGACTCCTTTTCAATATTGAGTTTTAGCTTTCAGCTTTCCCACCAAATCAAGGGTATATCCTAATTTATCACCCTCATTGTAGCTTACTGTGATTGTGGATGGATTATGGTCTTGATTTCTGCAAGCAACTGGCTTCCAGTAGGAAACTGTGCAACAATGAGGAACTACATCCCATAGTCATTTTGTTAACATAGGGAGAAAGGTATCATTCATATCAAAACACTTTTTTTACGTTCATGAAGGCTGCCGTTGTACTTAGAGGCATTTGTGTAAATATACGTGGTGATTACTCAAAGAATCTACAGTGAAATTTCAGATTCAGTGGTTTAAGGCAGATATAATAAATCACTTATGTGATTTTAAATAATGATAATATAGTATACAAAATAAAGTCAATAAAACAATGCGAAAAGTTCACCTGAAAGAAAAAGAAAAAAAATCACTGAAACCACAGAAAACACTCGCTCCCTGAACACACAATGAACATCTACAGCCACCAAAGGCCCGATCATTCAATGCCCAAGAGAATAAAACTGTATTTTCCTGATGTTAGAAAGATGACAAAGTAAACCCCGCAGCCTCCTGTTCAGCAAATGTTAAGGAGGTGCCCTTGTGCCTTCCTGCAAGCAGTGTCATCCCAAAGGGAGCTATAGCCCCTCACCCTCAGAAATGAGTCCATCATTGTGGTGGGGGGGGGAGGCTTCCTCTGCCAGTGATGTTCTGCTAGCTCTGTCCTTTTGCCTTTCTTATAGCACATAGCTCAGGGCATACAGAACATCACAACACAATAC